CATCTCTATATAATTAAGGAGGGATTTTTTTTTTTTCCCCATCATAGCTTTTTGTTTGTTTCTTGAGTCAGGGTTTCTCTGTGTAACAGCTCTGTCTGTCCTGGAACTAGCTTTTGTAGACCAGGCTGGCCTCAAACTCATAGAGATCCCCCTGCCTCTGCCTCCCAGTTTCCTGGGATTAAAGGTATATGCCACCACCATCAGGCCCACCACAGTTTGATTTTTTTTCTTTTTAATTTATCTGTTTATTTTACATCCTGGCTGCAGCCTCTCCCCACTTCATCCTCCCCTCCCATTCCCTTTCCTTGTCTCCCTATCCCTTCCTCATCTCCATCCAGGAAAGGGCAGGTTTCCTATGAGTATCAGTAAAGCATGGCATATTAAATTGCAGTAAGACGAAGTACCTCCCCATGTGTTAAGGCTGGCCAGGATGACCTATTATGAAAAGTAGGGTCTCAAAAGCCAGTAAAAGAGTCAGAGACAGCCCTCGTTCCCACTGTTAGGAGCCCCATAAGAGGACCAAGCTACATAACTGTAACATATATGCAGAATGCCTAGGTCAGTCTCATGCAAGCTTCCTGGTTGTCAGTTCAGTCTCTACAAGTCCCTGAGCCCAGGTTAGTTGATTTTGTGAGCCTTCCAGTATTTTAAGGTAGGATGTGCATTCTTAGCTGGGCATAGTGGTATTACCTGCCTTTAATCCAGCAGTCAGGAGACAGAGGCAGGTAGATCTCTGTACACAGAGAACCCTGTCTTTGAATAAATAAGTAAGTAAATAAATAAATAGTTGTGCATTATTTTTACCAAGTAATTAACCTTTCTATTTCACATTAGATGTTTAATTTTTTGAAACAAGGAAGAATCATAATTTGTTTTGACCTATAATTTTCTTTTTTAAAATGTTGCCTTTATTTTTGGTTTCTTATTCAAAGATGATAATTTAGTTGGTTAACTGATACACTGGCTACTCTTTGAAAAGGAGACTCAATTTTAAATCTGTAATAACCATAAGTAAATTGTATGATAAAGAAAATAGTATCTAATGGGGTTGCGGATTTAGTTCAAGACCTCATGTTCAGTTCGCAGTTCTGGGGGAAAAGTATCTGAATATATGGCTCTGTAGTTAAGAATACATGCTACTCTTGCAGAGGTCTCAAGTTCTGGTCCAAACACCTACATGGTAGGTAGCTCACAACTGCCTGTAACTCCAGTTCTAGGGACCTCACACCCTCTTCTGGCTGGGGTATTACATACCTTTAATCTGAGCACTCAGGTGGCAGAGGCAGAAGGTCTGTGTGAGTTTAAGGCCAGTCTGATCTGCACAGCAAGTTCCAGGATGATCATGGCTACTTAGACCCTGTCTCAAAAAAAGAAAAAAAGTATCATTTCTAGTTAGCATTCAGATTTCTAAATCCCAGGGCAAGAGGGAAGTCTGATTCAGTCAACTTTCCTAATTTTTGCTCCCTGGGAGATCGGTACTTTGAATACATGTGAAATGGGACCCTTTCCCCAGTGCCCTTCCCCTTCCTGGGCATTTACCTTTTCCCAAGTCCCTAATCCACCTCCTCTTGAGAAAAACTGGATATCGGGGCACAGGGAGGGGAGCTGACCAGAGGACCCTTTTCTGTGGTATTAGAAGGAGGAGGGACAGCTGGGGTTTCCCCCACCTACTCCAAACTCCTGGCAACCCCCAATCAATGTTTGAGCCTCCTCGTCCCCTGGGTACCCCTTGGTAAATCCTTGGTGATGTTTTTGGCAATTTCAGGAGTAAAAGGTCATTCTCATAGGGAAATAATTCCAATTTCCAGTCTGACTAATATTTTATATACGTATACAAACACAGATGTATATATACATTTAAAATTGAAATCCATGCTGAGGATGGCGGTGTACACCTCTAATCCCTTACTGGAGAGGCTGAAAAAGAATAACAAGTTCAAGGGCATCCTGGGCTACAAAGTAATGGGTTGTCATTTTTATTTTTTCTAAACTGAGATCCAAACAAAGTCAGTGCACTGAACTTAAATGACCTCTCTCTCTCTCGTTTTCTTTTGTTTTGTTTGTTCTTTGTTTTGTTTTCTTTAAGACAGGGTTTTTCTGCATAGCCTTGGCTGTCCTGGAACTTGCTCTATAGACCCTGATGGCCTCAAACTCACAGAGATCCATCAGCCTCAAATAGCATGTCTCTAGTCTCTATACCTTACCTCTGTATTTCTCTTCTTTTTCTTTTTTTTTCTCTCCCCAACTCCAATTTCTGTATTGAAGAACCTGGGTTGTCTACTTGATTTCTTCTTTTTTGTTTCACTAAACATATTTTTTCAAGCCCCTGTTTTTCTCCATCTGGTATCTCTTATAACATTGCGTGTTTGACTCTAAACTTTAAGAGTAAGCTAAATAATAGTTTAGAAGTAGCAATGTACTAGATTTAGGTTTTCTGCTCAAAATAATCTTTTTTTTTTTTCCCCTCTCAGAGATCTGCAACGAATAACCCTGCCCAGCATTAATCGCCTCAGACACTTCACTAATGATACAATCCTGGATGTCTTCTTTTACAATAGCCCCACCTACTGTCAGACCATCGTGGACACAGTAGCTTCTGAAATGAACCGAATATATACACTTTTTCTACAGAGGAACCCCGATTTCAAAGGGGGTGTATCCATTGCTGGTCATAGTTTAGGTAACAAATGAATTCCCTGTAGCCAGAGAGGATTTTCACATTTTGAAACACAGAGTCTTTTTTTTGTTTGTTTGTTTTTTTGTTTTTCGAGACAGGGTTTCACTGTGGCTTTGGAGCCTGTCCTGGAACTAGCTCTGTAGACCAGGCTGGTCTCGAACTCACAGAGATCCGCCTGCCTCTGCCTCCCGACTGCTGGGATTAAAGGCGTGCGCCACCATCGCCCGGCTCGAAACACAGAGTCTTAATCAGTAACAGATTCAGAGAACCACAAGACATCTGTGGTGAAGAATTGGGAAGGGGCTGGAGGGTGGTGGTAAACTGGAAAGATTCTCTGTTGGTTTTCTTACATTTGTAATTGGCTTTTAACTTTTTTGTATAAAAGACAGCCAATGTCTTAGAAATTGTCCCTTCTTCTATTTTACTTATAGGTTCGCTTATATTGTTTGATATCCTAACAAATCAGAAAGATTCTTTTGGGGATATTGACAGTGAAAAGGTAATTTAGAAGTTTAGATAGGTTCTCTTGTAGTATTTCATACTAAGGACTTATAGATTTTCAACCTTTGTGTTTAGCCGAGTTTAGTCTTATGCCATAATTTTAAATGTATATTTATTTTAACAACTTGGTAATTATCTATTGTGATTCTTGGGTGATAGAAGCAAGACAGTATTTTGCTTCTATAAATCACTGCCATATTGTGAAATAAGTATGGTGCCTTCTGTCTCTGTAAATATGCACTACTAGTACATGGACAGAGTTGTAGCCATTGAGTTCATTGTAGATTGTGTGTAAGGATGTGGAGAGGACTTGGATGGCTTACAGAAGTCATGTTTGGAAGCCAACTGGAAACATGACGATGAAACCTGTCTCTTCATCAATCAAAGTCTCCCATGAACATTTTATCATGGTAGTAGTGATTTGGTATTCAGTAGACACTGTCTTCTATTTTTCTTTTTGTGTAAGTATACTGTGAACCCTTGGGCTCACATTCTTAGGCTATTTTATATCTTTTTTGTCTTTTAGATTTATTTTTATATGTGTGGCTTTTTTAATTTTCATTTTTATATATGAGTATTTTGCCTGCATGTTTGTATGTGCATCAGAAGGTGCAGGGTCCCCTGGAACTGATGGTTGTGAGCCACCATGTAGGTGACAGGAATTGAACTAAGGTCCTCTGGAAGAACAAGTACTCTTAACCATGTATGTATTTATATCATGTATGTGCCTGTTACCCCTGAATGTCAAAAGAGGGCATCAAATCCCATGGAACTGTAATTACAGATGGTTGTAAGCAACCGTGTGTGTGCTAGGAACCAAACCAGGTCCTATTTATTTATTTATTTATTTATTTATTATGTATACAATATTCTGTCTGTATGCCTGAAGGCCAGAAGAGGGCGCCAGACCTCTTTGCAGATGGTTGTGAGCCACCATGTGGTTGCTGGGAATTGAACTCAGGACCTTTGGAAGAGCAGGCAGTGCTCTTAACCTCTGAGCCATCTCTCCAGCCCCCAAACCAGGTCCTCTTACAAGAGAGCAAGTGTTAACTGTTGAGTAATGTTTCTAGCTTCACCATCCCCATTTTAAAATTCTATGTGTATGAGGGTATGGCCCACAAGTATGTCTGTGCACTACACTTGTGGTGTCCTCCAAGGCCAGAAGAAGGTATCAGATCCCCTGGAACTGGAGCTACAGATGATGGCTATGAGCTGCCTTGTGACTGCTAGGTATTGAAACCAGGTTCTCTAGAAGAACAGCTAATGCTCCTGACCACTGAGCTTTCTCTCTAACCCTGACTGTTTCATTTCTTCTTCTTTCTTTTTCCCTCCTCCTCCTCCTCCTCCTCCTCCTCCTCCTCCTCCTCCTTCTCCTCCTCTTCTTCCTCTTCCTTCTCCCTCCTCCTCTTCCTCCTCCTCCTCCTTCTCCTCCCTCTTCTTCTTCTTTTTTTTTGACATAGGGTTTGTGTAGCCCCTGCTGTCTTGGAACTAGCTCTGTAGACCAGGCTGACCTCTAACTCACAGAGGTTCACTTGCCTCTGCATTCTGAATGCTGGGATTAAAGGTGTATACTACCACTCTCTGTTCTGTTTTATTTCTTAAATAATGTTTTCTTAATAAGAGATCAGTAAGTGTTTGCTAATGATGAAGGAGATTATTCTGATATTAATTTAAAAATACATTTTTGCTTGGCATGGTGGTACACACCTTTAATCCTAGCACCTGGGAGGGAGAGGCAGGTGGGTCTCTGTGAGTTTGTGGCCAGCCTGGTATACATAATGAATTTCAGGACAGCCAAGGCTACACAGAAAAACCCTGTCAAATAAATAAATATCATCTTTATTTACATAGTAAGTTTGAGACCATCTTGGACCTCGTGAGACCTTGTCTTAAAACAAAACCAAGTAGTTAATGTTAAGATTTATTATTGTGAATATCTTACATAATACATTTCAAATTATAAAATAGTATTAATAAAGAAAACTAAATGAATTTTGTGAATAATAAGCTATGTGATACAATTTTTAGGGTTCATTTAGAACTGTTGAGGATCAAGGAGATGTACCAACGTTAGAAGAAGAACTGAAGAAACTTCAACTCTCTGAGTTCCTCACTGTCTTTGAAAAAGAGAAAGTTGATAAAGAAGCTCTGGTAAGCAAAGGCCTTTAAATTTTATATCAAGTCATTTTCAGTGTTTTTATCTTCATCATCTTTCCCAAGAACATGCCTTTTGGAAGCTTTTTACTTAGAAATATTTCACCACTAATGATGATCTTTAGCATTGCTCAAGGCTCAGATGAGCCATATTGATATGCACATGCAGTAGAGTGCAATCTAAAGCAGGCTAAGCTTAGAGAAAGTATGAGTCAAGCGCTAACCCTGGGGTGAACAGTAACTGCCCCAACTCTTATTTTCTATTGCGGATAAAGATCTCTACCATGGTGTTTTCTTTTCCTCAGTTTTCTTGTGTTTCTTCCGGTTTGTAATACATTTGTTCACTCAGCTGATACTTAGTAACTGCCTACTCTGATCAGGCATGGGCAGCAGGGTGCTAGTAAGATGGACCTGGTCACTGACTTGAGTGTTGGTTGTTTTTTAGGAAAGGTACATTACTTATGTTAATGACTGATAAGGAAAAATACACAGTGGTGTAAGAATGCAAAGAAGGAAGTCCGTCCCCGCTAAAATGAGTGGCACTTACACTGAGATTTTGATGTTAGTTGTGTTACACTTCTTTGTTGGCCACATGTTCTCACAGGTTGTGTTCATCAGGAGTATAATCCTGAGAAAGTGACATCTAAATGACATCATGAAGTTGTTAGATACTAACTTTCCTAGTTCTTTTTTACATAGTATTAATTACTATCATATTGACAGTGTAGTTTTTACTAATACTTTTATTCTTAGGTTATTTTATGACTAAGACAAGACTTTCTTTCTCAGTTCCTTGTGTGGTATGCCCTTAGGGAGCAAGATCAGTGTGAACCAAGAACAAGAGTGACTCCTTTCAGAGTCTACCACATTTAATTGATTTTATTTTGCCTAGAAATTAAAACAAAACAACTGTTTTGTGTTCTATTCCTAGGCCTTATGTACAGAAAAAGATCTTCAGGAAATGGGAATTCCCTTAGGACCAAGAAAGAAGATTCTAAACCATTTCAGAACCAGAAAAAACTCAATGGTATGTATCTAATATAGCTTAGTGGGGTGAGACAGTTCTTTGACAGTGACAGTAAATCCTTATGCTTTGTGATATATACACTCTGCTAACTAATCAGCTGCTTTTGCTTTCCATACTGGGGATTAAATTAGGACTTCACACACACTAGGCAAGTGCTTTAAAACTAAGCAGAATCTCAGTAAGTTTCCCTGGCTGGTTTTGAACTCAGTCTGTAGGCTAAGGGCACATCAATTTGAACTTGAGATCCTCCTGCCTCAAGTCTCCCAAGTAACTGGGACTATAGATTTGCACCACCAAGCCCAGATGTGGTTTAATTTTTGCTTTATGTGTTGTTGAAATAAGGTTTCCCTGTGTTGTTCAATCTATTTTCAAACTCTTGGGCTTAATTGATCCTCTTTCCTGCTCCAATTTCCCCCACCTTTGAGATGTCTCACTATGTATGTTTGACTGTCCTCAAACTCACTGTCACCAGGCTGATCTCAAACTCCCGAGTGCTGGGATCAAAGGTGTGCGCCACCATATCTGATAAGACCCAAGTCTTGATCCAGTATTGGTATTGTATTCAGCACCCAGAGAGACATTGGATTTGCCTTGGTTGGTATAGAATTTAGCAACAATACTCTACTGTCAGATGGCTGCCTGAAATTTCAGCTGCTACCAAAATGGCTGTGTATAGCCTCCATCATTTATTCGTTTATTTTTATATTTTTTTGAGGCATGGTCTCAATGTGTAGTTCTAACTTGCCTAGAACTCGATATATAGATCAAGCTAGCCTTAAACTCAAAGGTAGGCCTGCCTCTAACTCCTCCCAAGTGTTGTAGTTAAAGATGTTCTCCGGCCAGGCGGTGGTGGCGCACGCCTTTAATCACAGCACTCAGGAGGCAGGCGGATCTTTGTGAGTTTGAGGCCAGCCTGGTCTACAAGAGCTAGTTCTAGGACAGACTCCAAAGCTATAGAGAAACCCTGTCTCGAAAAACCAAAAAAAGAAAAAAAAAAGTCCTCCACCATACCCAGACATTAACAGCTAGTTCCAGTGGATACTATCTCCATATAGCTTTTCTTCTTTTTCTTTTCAGGGTGTTAATAGATCAGCCACATCAGCTTCAGAGGTAAACATCCCCAAGGAAAATGGTGACTATCTAGATGTTGGCATTGGGCAGGTAAAAATACTCTGTTTTTGTTTTAACTATTACTAGTCATATGGTAGGAACAGATAAGACTCGCTATTAATGAGAAATGCCCTTTTTCCTCCTTCCAGGTGTCTGTAAAATACCCCCGGCTCAACTACAAACCAGAAATATTCTTTGCCTTTGGATCTCCAATTGGAATGTTTCTTACTGTTAGAGGATTAAGAAGAATTGATCCTAATTATAAATTTCCCACATGCAAAGGTTTCTTCAATATTTACCATCCTGTAAGCACTGAATAGCTGCTATATGGTTTTACCTAAATATTAGGATTTCTTAACAAACAACATATAATTTTGTGTGTATTGATTGGCTTTTTCTATATTATTCTTTAGTAACTGAATAGATGGTAGTATTGATTAGGAAGAAGTAATCAGGAGCTGGCAGTGGTACATGCTGTTAATCCCAGCACTCGGGAGGCAGAGGCAGAGGCAGGGGCAGGGGGATGGGTCTCTGAGTCTGAGGACAGCCAGGGCTACACAGAGAAATCCTGTCTCGAACCAAAACAACAAACAAGGCAGTAATTAGAAGAACTGCATGTTCATGTGTATGAGGCCAGAGTACCTTGGTGTACCTTGGGTACCATTTGTCGGATGCTGTCTGCTTCTTTTTTAATGAGGCAGGGTCCCCCACTAGCCTGGCCTGGATCTTGCCAGTAAACCCTAGGGATTCTCCTGTCTTAGCCTCTCCAGTGTTGGGATTTACAAGTATTTGTTATTATGCTCAGCTTTTTGGGTTTTTTGTTTTTGTTTTGTTAAATATAGGTTCTAGGAGTCAGGGCCCTTTGCTTTCAGGTCAAATACTGTGTTGACTAAGCCATCTCCCATCCCTCCATAGCTGTACCTTTTTATAAAATAAACATAAATATTTTTACCTAAGATACATAGTTTCTCAGACTGTCTTCTTTATTAGGGATAAATACGTAGCTGTTATTTTTCCTATGCAGTTTGATCCTGTAGCATATAGGATTGAACCAATGGTGGTCCCGGAAGTAGAATTTGAGCCAATGCTGATCCCACATCATAAAGGCAGGAAGCGGATGCACTTAGGTGAGTCTGTATAGAACTTGATTCTGGATATTCTGATGAGTATACACTAAATGGAGTTGATTCTTTTCTTTGCTGAGCCTTAAATGCGACATCACGTAGCATCGTTTATTCACTGTTTCAGAACTGAGAGAGGGCTTTACCAGGATGAGTATGGACCTGAAGAATAACTTGCTGGGTTCACTGCGGATGGCCTGGAAGTCTTTCACCAGAGCTCCGTACCCTGCCTTACAAGCTTCAGAAACAGCAGAAGAAACCGAGGCAGAACCTGAATCAAGTTCAGAAAAGTCCAGTGGTCAGTGAATGTAGAGATTACCTGAGGAGGGGTGCATGGGGAGTTCCAATCAGAGCCTTCTTTCTTTTCCCCTTTAATTATGTAGGATCTATTCTGTGAGTCATAGCTGTTTTTTTTTTTTTTTTTTTTTTTGGTTTTTCGAGACAGGGTTTCTCTGTGGTTTTGGAGCCTGTCCTGGAACTAGCTCTTGTAGACCAGGCTGGCCTCGAAATCACAGAGATCCGCCTGCCTCTGCCTCCCAAGTGCTGGGATTAAAGGCGTGCGCCACCACCACACGGCGTCATAGCTGTTCTTGAACTATGCTAACGTTTCCTGTCATTTTAATAGCTAAAAATTAGGGGGAAATACTATGTGAGAAAAATGTCAAGAGAAACCGTTAACGACCCTTGAGAACATTTCCCACTTTGGATTTGGGAATGATGTTAAATGCCTACTCTCTGCTGGGCATGGTGACACACACCCATAGTTCCAGCACTCAGGAGACAGAGGCAGGTGATCTCTGTGAATTTAAGGCCAGCCTGGTCTACAGAGTGAGTTCTAGGACAGCCAAGGCCACAAGCCTACTCTGTGAAGTACCTACTTAAAAAAATGATGTGTGTGTTTGTGTGAATGTAGGGCGTGTGTATAGCTGCCAGTGTGGGCCAGAAGAGAGGGTATTTGATCCTCTGGAAGATCAGCAAGTGCACTTAACTGCCTAGCCAACCCTCCAACCCTGTTACTTTTTTTCTCTTAGGTATGTGTATATGCATAAAAGAATTGAGTGTGTACCAAATGCATACCTGATGCCTTCAGAGGCCAGAGTTATTGGATCTGCTGGTATTGGTGTTACAGGGAGTTGTAACCTACCTGGTACTGGTGCTGAGAATTAGACCTGGGTCATTTGCAAGAGCAGCAAGTGCTCTTAATTGCTGAGACACTTCTCCAGCCCCAGTAGCTAGCTTTATTAGATGAACGTGTGTTTGTGTATCAGTTTTATTTCCATTGCTGAAGACTAGCTTGGATTCTCAGTTCCCTATAGAGTCTATGCTATGTCAGTTTGCATTAGTTTATAAAATTCAAGACACATGACTTACAGGTGATGAGATGTGTTGATCAAAAGAAGAAATTGAACAAAATTAGTATGTTTCAAGGAGCTTTAAAGAAATTGAGAGGAAGAAGACAGAGAGGAAGAGCTCTCTGAGCAGAGTGTCTCATCATAAGGTAAACGTGAATCCAGGAGAGCTGAATCTTCTAGGTGTATGTGTATGTATCTTGTGTACATGTACATGTGTGTGTGTTGGTATACATGTATGTGGAAGCCAGAGTGTCTTTCTCCATCTTTTTCCACCATAGTTTCTTTAGACAGGATCTCTCACTGAACCTAGAGCTCTCTAATTGACTATGAAGCCCCAGGGATCCTTCTGTCTGTCTCCCCAGTGTTGGAATTACAGGCATGTGCTGCATTGGCCAGCTTTTTAGGAGGGTGCCTGGGTATTGGTGATACAAACTCAGTTCCTCGTGCTTGCAGGCAAGCACTTGGCCATCTCCACGGAGTATTCCCTAGTCCTGTGCTTAGGTTCTTATGATGGTGCTTCTTATTTAGAAGTCAACACAGAAGAGACACCCGCGGAAGTTAAAGAAGAGCTTCCAATCAATGTGGGAATGCTGAATGGCGGCCAGCGCATTGACTATGTGTTGCAGGAGAAGCCCATTGAGAGTTTTAATGAATATTTATTTGCTTTACAAAGTCATCTATGCTACTGGTAAGTGTTTTGTGTTTGTGTGTGTTTATGTTCTTCTGTATCCTTATCTAGTCTTCCTTTTCAGCTCTGCCAGAGTTGAGTGCCAGTTCTCAGAAGTTCTGGCACCCAGCTTCACCCTAACTGGCTCTGATTTTTAAGATGTATTTTTTGAGATGAGTGTGATTGCTCATGCCTGTAACTCCAGCATCTGATACTGGAGTCTGGAAGATTTTGAGTGTAGGCAGCTACCTACTGAAATCCTGCTCTCATACCCCATCATGGGGGGGGGGGGAGAAAAAGATAGAGAAGAAAATAAAGCATTTATAATAGCAAAAGCACAGGTATATTATTAAATATAATTGCCTGATGGAGCGTAGATCCGAGTAGTGGTGATTACTAGATTTTATATAACAATACAATTTCACTGCCAATCATAACAGAAATAAAGCTGGAAGGGGGCTGGAGAGATGGCTCAGCGGTAAAGAGCACTGCCTGCTCTTCCAAAGGTTCTGAGTTCAATTCCCAGCAACCACATGGTGGCTCACAACCATCTGTAATGAGGTCCGGTGCCCTCTTCTGGCCTGCAGGCATACACGTAGAAAGAATATTGTATATATAATAAATAAATATTTAAAGAAAGAATAAGATGGGGCAGAGAAGTGTTTTTGAAAGATGCTCACCTGAAATCCCAGTATTCTAGGAGGATTGCTATGTCCTTGGTTTTATTTTCAGTGTTCTGAGGAATTTCTCCATGGAACTCTGATAAAGGGATAATTATCTGGCATACTCACTGTCATCCCTATATGGTAAAACTAAAACTCAACAAAAGCTGTCATTGTAAGGAGCTAAAATAATGCTCTTTAAAATGTTTTGCTTATTTACCTTAAAAACATTTAGTGATATAATTTCTCTCGCTCAGTCCTGGTGGCATGTCCCCTTACAGTGAGCCATCTCACTGGCCCTGCTCGTTTGCTTATTACAAAATTAAACTTCATTTAAAAACTTTCTTAGCTGAGCAGTGGTGGAGCACGCCTTCAATCCCAGGACTCAGGCAGGCTGATCTCTGTGAGTCTGAGGCCAGCCTGGTCTACAGTGAGCTAGGACTGTTACACAGAGAAACCCTGTCTCAAAAAAAAAAAAAAAAAAAAAACCAAACGAACAACAACAACAAATACTTCCTTTAGAGCTAGAAATGTTGGTACACGCCTGTGTCCCAGAACTTGAGCGACAGGAAAGAGGGTTAGGAGTTCAAGGCCATATGTTGCTGTATTTTGAGTTTGAGGCCAGTCTGGGCTATATGAGACCCTGTTTTCAAGGTCGAAAAAGCAAGACCAAAAAGAAGGATTAAAAATTTTCTGATTGGGTTGAAATTCAAAGGAAGATGAATAATTTTTTGAGTTTTTCTTTCATTTCATGCCCCGCTAGTGAGTTTCCCAACATGTAGCTATCATATTTCTTCTAGCAAAGAAAATGAAAGATTTCTTTAAAAATGTAGAGAATACGACAGACACTTCTTTCGCCTTATCTACCAGTACTTCTGAGTCCCCTCATCCCTTTTATGTCTCTAAAGGCCATTCTTTTTGGTCTAGCTTTTTCAGCGGTGCACACCTTTAATCCCAGCACTCGGGAGGTAGAGGTAGGTGGATCTCTGTAAGTTTGAGGCCAACCTAGTCTATAAGAGCTGGTTCCAGGACAGCCAGGATTACACTAAGAAACCCTATCTCGAACCCCCCCCCCAAAAAAAAATGTTCAAAAAAGATTGTCTTTTACAAAAACATTTGTCACATTTATTTGTGTTTGTGTGGTGGGGTCCAGTGATCTGCTTTACTCACTGTGTCATCTCGCTGGTCCGCATTGTCCATTTCTACACCTTCATAATGTACATATTGGGGTGTTTCCCCATAGCCTTTTGTAAATAGTTTTTTTTTAATTGATTTTTGTGTGCATTTGTGTGAAGTATGTACATGTTTGTGTGCACGTGTGCATGCAGGGACATGAATACAATGCACAGATGCATATGGAGACTGGAGGTCAATGTCAGTGTCCTCTGATGTCTACACTTGATCTTTTTTTTTTTAAATATTTTTTATTTATTTATTATGTATACAATATTCTTTCTACATGTATGCCTGCAGGCCAGAAGAGGGCACCAGACCCCTTTACAGATGGTTGTGAGCCACCATGTGGTTGCTGGGAATTGAACTCAGGACCTCTGGAAGAGCAGGCAATGCTCTTAACCACTGAGCCATCTCTCCAGCCCCTACACTTGATCTTTTGAGACAGGGTCTTGTCACTGAGCTCTAGGGATAGGCCTATCTCTATAGGTCCTCCCTCCCCAAGAACTGAGATCATAGGTTTGGACATCCAAACCCAGGTCCTCAAACTAGTGCAGCAAGCACTTCACAAACTGATCCTCCCCAGACCCTTTCCAACAGTGTTTTTTAAAAATATTTATTTATTATGTACACAATATTCTGTATGTATGCCTTCAGACCAGAAGAGGGCACCAGACCTCATTACAGATGGTTGTGAGCCACCATGTGGTTGCTGGGAATTGAACTCAGGACCTTTAGAAAAGCAGGCAATGCTCTTAACCACTGAGCCATCTCTCCAGCCCCCCTTTCCAACAGTTTTATCAACTTCAATTTTATGACAATTTGTTGGGATTTATTGTTTGTTTTTGAGACAGCGTTTCTCTGTGGCTTTGGTGCTTGTCCTGACACTCATTCTATAGACCAGGTTGGCTTTGAACTCACAGAGATCTGCCTTTCTCTGCCTCCTGAGGCACCACCCCACGACAGTTTGTTGGCTTTAAAATGTGTAAACCACAGATATTTCAAGTTTAGCCCTGGCTGTCCTGGAACTCCCTCTGTAGACCAAGCTGGCCTCAAACTCAAGAGATCCCCCTGCCTCTCAAATGCTATCAGCTTTCTTTTACCACTCAGAACTACCTGCCTAGGAGTGGCACCACCCCTACTAATTTAGGCCCTCCCATATCAATCATCAAGCAAGAGAATGCATCACAGTCTTGCCCACAGGCCAGTCTGGTGGGGCATTTTTTCAGTGGAGGCTCCCTTTCTCAAATGAATCCAACCTGTGTCATGGTGACAGATCAGTAGCCTGCAAGGTGGGAGAAAGAGCCAGGTCATGTTTGTTTTTTCTTAATGTGTTATTTAATTGTCTCATCAATACTAGAATGTGAGATTCTAACTTTATTAAATTCTTTTGTTTGGAGACAGTGTCACTATGTAGCTGTCATTCTCTACTGTGTTCCTTTGAGACAGTCTCTCAGTGCATCTAGTCTAGTGGCCAGGAAGTCTCAGCACCCACACTGTGCTGGGGTTAAGCAGCCTGGCTGTTTATGTGAGTGTTGGGTTCCAAATTCAGATTCCCATTCTTGCTCAACCATCTAGCCATGAGCCATATTTCTAAGCCCCATTTCATACATTTAGAATTTTGAGTCATATCTTTTATTGCCTTTTCCAAAAAGCAAGTAAAAGTTTTAAAATGAAGGTGACCAACTAAATACCTCCTCACTATTATCTCAAGAGCGCCTCTGTGTAGCTGAGCATGGTGCTTTGTGCTTGTAATCCTGGCAGTCAAGAGGTTGAGGTAGGAGGATTTCTGTGAACTCAGGACCAGCCTGAGCTATAGAGTAAGTTCCAGGGAGAGTGTGGGCTAGAGAGAGACTCCGCCTCAGGCAAGCAAGCAAGGCTCTGTGGACTCTTCTTGTCACTTACTCCCTTCCCTTCTCCTGCTTCCAGACATAATGCTAACTACCACCTAGTAGAGCTCAAAGGCACATATTTCTGCAGCAGTCAAATATAAACAGATCCAAGGTTATTTGTATAGATAAATGAAAAGCATACTGCACCAGACTGTTTCATCTTTTCTCAATTTTTTTTTTTTTTCCTACACAGGGAATCCGAAGATACAGTATTGCTGGTTCTGAAAGAGATCTACCAAACCCAGGGCATCTCCCTTGATCAGCCTTTACAGTAAAAATGGCCCATCTGGCTGCCTAATGTAAGTTTTCAGTGCAGTGTAATGTTTGCATGTGACCCTTGGAGCCTCAAGCTCTTATCCAGATGTATATACATCCCCACCATCTAGGGTATACTCACTTGGAGGGATGGTTAAACTCACAGGAAGCATCCAGTCGCCCCTTAGGGATTAGTGTATATTTTATGTTTGTGATTGGGATCCTGAAGAGCCTGTATTAGACAGTGGATTCTCTGCGCGCTGGTTACCTTCAGGTTGAAGTACATGGTGACCTCTTCTCCCACTCTCTCCTGTAGATGGACACGGAAGGAGCCTTTGCTGAAAATCCACGTGCTTTTTGCTGCAGGTTTCTTTGCAGCTACGCCATCAAGTCCTGCATGTTGCCTGCCTCTTACTCCACAGGACCTTTAGAAGATAATCCTTTTCAGAAATCAGTGGAGAGCAAAAGGAAGACTCATTGCTTTGTAAAAACACTCACTAGTTTTTGTAGCTAAGGCATTCACACCCTTTAATGCTTTAACATTAAGCAGCACTTCCCTATTTATTACATGGAAAGAAACAAGAGTCTGTTTAGGGGGCTTAGAAAAATTTGAGAGGTTTACTCTTTATCTTTAGAAAATGGACCAGTTTGGGAGCATATTCTTAAGATTTAAAGGTACTTGGGGTCCAGTCATTTTTTGTGTGTGTGTGTTCTTTGCACTGGAAGGAAGGCTAAGCATAAATGGATATGGAAATAATTGCTATTTTTTTAAGCCAGCATTTCTTTCCTGTGTGTATTGTATGAAGATATGACTATAGCTTACTAAAAATATAGTTTGCTCTGAACCCTGTCAGCTAAGCTTACTGTAGGACTCACTGGTGCTGTTCTGTTTTTACAACTGCTTCAGCTTCTGTAAATGTGAAGGTGGTGTGGATTGTGTGCCTGCCCTTTTACACCATATTCTAAACGGGGGTGCGCTTTGAGTAAGTTCTTTGATAATACTTACCTTGAAGGTGAAGTTGTAAGACTTGGTCAATTACATGGCCCATCTCAACTGTTCATTTGTAGATGTGATCTTGTAGCACCAACTTAAGTCACCTGCTACTTCCAGTTGAGTAAAGGAAGTATTGTGATGGAAACATCCTTGCCTTCCAAGGTCCCGTCAAAATGTTTACTTAGAGTTGGCAGTCAGTATTAGTTGAGCATGCAGGTTAGCAGGGGAAAGACCATATTCTGAAAGAAAACCTATTATACAGGGTCTGAGGAGCAGCTGTGTGCACCTGTAGCTGAATCTGGAGAAACTGAGGTAGCGTTATCTTGAGGAACAAGAATGATTGCACGCTAAGCTTTCTCCAAGGTATCTGCTCGGCTTTAGGCTTCCCTCCCTCTTCAGCATGTACGTGCTCTTCTTCTCCGATAGTCCTCTGTTCCTCAGAGCTCCACAGGTTTCTTAGAGAGTGGCAGGGGAGGTAAGCTATGTTTTGATTTTTGTCTTTTTTTTTTCTTTTTTTTCCTGTAGCCCTATCATGGCATCCAGAATCTTCTGTATTTAATACTCACAGAAGCTGCCCCTTAGCAGCAGTCTGTACCCTTTTTGGTACAGAACAGAAAGGAGGGTAATCACTGTGCCCTGGAGGTTACAGAGGCAAGCATGGATACAGTCAAGCCTAGCCTTCTGCTTATAGATAATGCTGGATAAGCAAACTACTGAGAAGTGCCAGATGTGACGGGGTTTCTCTGTGAAATAGTCCTGGCTGTTCTGGAACTCACTTTGTAGGCCAGGCTGGCCTTGAACCCGCAGAGATCCACTTGCCTCGGCCTCTTTAGTGCTAGGATTAAAGGTTGCACCACCATTTGCCTGGCTTACATTTTTTTTTTTTTACAGTATCTCTTGGATAGGAATTATTGAGAATTAAGTAGTATTAATTAAATACTAAAGGGTGTTTGTCAAATCGCCATCTTCAGATTTGTTTACTCTTGTTAGCAGAATTGTTACTACTTAAGAGTAAACCAAAGTACAACCACGAATGACTTCTTGTAACCAAAGATGGGCAGCATGGCCCCGGAGAGCCAGATAAACCACTGTGCTACACCATGCTTCTCCCTGGCAGTCTGGGCGTACAGTAACTAAAGAGCTTGACCCTCTTGTGTACCATCCTCTTGTGTATTACCCTGTGTGCTATACAAGTGAGGAAAGAGGCAAGGAGCCTGAGTTTAGTTACACGGCATTTGCCCTGCATCATTTGTATCATGTACAATCTGCTGACCAAGGCTGTTTTTAAACGCTAGTGTAACAGCATTTTGTCCAGATTCCTGACTGCAGAGTTAGACCATTTCAAGGGAAGATGACGAATAGCACTGATTACCTTTCTGATATTTTGCACTTTTGAAATGTTTGTTTTATATGTGATTATATTTAAGACTTTAGTAAATGCTGAAATAAAACTAATTGACCAGATACTTACTTTCATGTGGCCTTATCTATCAAGAAAAGAACAATAAAGTAGCCATTTTCACTTTTTTATTACTTTTGGTTTTTTGAGACAGGGTTACTCTGTAACAGCCCTGGCTGTCCTTGAACTAGACCAGGCTGGCCTCAAACTCACTGAGATCTGCCTAGCTCTGCCTCCAAGTGTGGAATTAAAGGCATGCACCACCACCACCCATTATTTTCTCTTATGTTGAATTCCAAACAAAAATTTTAGGCAAGTAGCTAATATGTAAGTTATTTTCCCTTGACTAATGTTTTCATTGTCATGGAGAGATACAGCTCCGAATTTAAGGTGTAGCAAATATGTCTGTAAATACAGAAAACAGCCTGTCCTTTAGGATCTATACAGACTAGCTTGAAAACAAATGCTACAGTTACTCACACGGATCAGATCAAGAGTCCAGTGTTGATCTCCTAGATCCTGAATAGTCCTTAGGTACGAAAACCCAAGCACACTTCTATTTCACTGTCAGATTTCCTGAGGGGGAAAATGCACTGAAAATATATTTAAGAGTATGTTAACAGCTGGCTGTGTTGACACATTCCTTTAGGTCAGCACTCAGGAGTCGGGGAGGCAGATCTCTGAGTTCAAAACGAGCCTGATCTACAAAGTGAGTTCCAGGACAGCCAGAGCTACAAAGAGAAACCCTGTCTCAAAAAACAAACAAAAAAAAGAAAATGCTGTAGGAAGATATACATAAGACGAAATTTTATTTAAAATATAACAAAAAAGGTAGCTATTAGGTGGTCCTCAGTAGCAAGTTCTGATGCTAGCCTATAGTTGTCCCATGTATTTCTTTGTGAACAAAATGCAGAGAAAGATGCATTTATCTTCCAGATAACACCTGTAAAGTTTCTTTCCTGATGAAGTAAAAACTAGCTAAAATTGGCAGTTTTATTATTTAAGGCTTAATGGAATGTGACCACAAAAAAGTAAACACTGTTTTACTGGCACTGCCCTTATTTATAAGGGACAGAGAAATTTGGCAATAAAGTCTTCAGGATAAAGTCCCTTTTGTGAAAAGCTCTCTTGAGTGACATATATGTAAAGATCCTAGGTCTTGGAACAGCAGTCTTATGGCCCAGCTTCATTAACCCAGAGAGAGAACTCCCGGAAGAGCCCCTTGCCAGAACAGGCGCCAGGCAGGGAATCCTTAGGGTCTAGCCTTGGAAGTGGGGCAAAGTGCACAGTCCTGTGGAAACAGCTGTACAGTGTGGCCATGCCCTCACTTTTACCTTGGAAGAGGTAAGAGCCAGAAATTCTTGGCTTGGTAGGAGAACTGATTTGTTTGTTCTCCGCTGAGGTAGTAGGTTCAGCTAGATATCCAGGCGGTGAGAGTCACTGGGCTTCTTGTGTGAAGAGGGGAGTTTGTGCTTGTCCTGAAATGGTTTGTGGCATTCTACATCAGTCAGAGGAGGATAGTACTGTCTGTAGCAGAGGTAGGCAAATGTTATTCCAATCATGGACCCAACTAGTACATCTGAAGAGAGAGAAATAGGTCTTTTTAAAAACCATGTTAGACACTACACAGCTCTGGAGTGACCTTGGCACTCCAGGTTACTCTGCTTGTAGAGGCTAAAAAAGCCATCAACCCATGTTATAGTTATAAGACTATTAGATTGTTCTCTACACACCAAATCAGAACAGGGACTGAGTTTGAATTTTTTTCCTCCTGAGATGGTTTCTCTGTGTAACTGCTTGAGCTGTCCTGGAACTTGCTTTGTAGGTCAGGCTGGCCTTAAACTCACAGAGGTCTTCCTGCCTCTATCTCTTAAGTGCTGGGATTAACCACCCAGCAAGTTAGAATTTTTTTATTAATGTTCACTGGTGTTTTGCCTGTATATATTCTGTGTGAGTGTGTCAGAGCCCCTGGAACTGGAGTTACAGACAGTTGTGAGCTGCCATGTGGGTGCTGGGAATTGAACCCAGGTTCCTCTGAAAGAGCAGTCAGTGATCTTAACTACTGAGCCATCTCTCTAGCCCAAGTTAGAATTTTTATTTTTTTTACAACAGAAGAGTAGCAAATATTCATGGGAGTCTAATTATTGGCTGGTTTTCATTGTTTCGAGATTCTGGTCAGGAATGGTGGCACACAATTATGATTCCAACACTTGGGAGACTGAGGCTTGAGCTAAAGGGGGAGATTCTAAAGATTAAGGAGGCTGGCCACCCTGACACACTTTTTAGCCCAACAGTCAAAGGCAGCTGTATCTCTTGAGTTTGAGGCCACCCAGGGCTACATTGTTTCACAGGAGCTGGGATTGGGGGTGGGGCGTTAATGTTTGGGAACTGGCTCAGCACGTAAGAGCATTTTCTTCCATAAACAAAAGGACTTGAGTTCAAATCCCCAGTGCCCACATGAAAAGCTAAGAGTGACCGTTCATGCACTTGTAAGGGCAGAGAGGATTACTGGTGCTTGCTGGTCATCGGCTCCCCACATGACTGGGGTACATGAACCTGCACATACACCATACACAAGTTAATTGCAAAGGATTTGTGTGTGCGTGTGCATGGGGATTCGTGTGGAGTTAGGAGGATAACTCTGGAATCCTTTCCTTCCTTCCATCCACCTTTTCATGTGTCCAGGGACCAAGCATAGGTTGCCAGGCTTGTACAAGTCTCTTTACCTCTCTCTGAGCCATCCTGCTGGCCCCAAAGTTAACTTTGGTCCCTTTGTGACAAGGTACAGAGCCCAGCCTGGCTACACTTACTCATTGGCTCATTCATCATCGGCAGATACTAGGAAGCCATTCCTCTGTGCCAGTTTCTAGGGTTAAGACAGAAGGAGCAGAAACTCCTGAGGCATATGACCGCTTACCTTGCCAGTGGTGCTTGTAGTCACACGTACGGGACAGAGCAATGACAGCTGCGAGGAGTAGAGGCGACAGGAAGGCGCAGAGCCTCCAGGATTTCCCTCGGCCTTCTGGTGTAAAGCAGTGTAGCTTCCCTGCCAGGTAGAAGGAAGCAAAGGCCAGACCAGCAAATGCAACTAGAACAGGGAAGACCTCGGAGTCACCACTCATGTCCAGACAGGAGGGTGAGAACAAGAGCAGGCTTTACCTCTTGATGTCTCAATGTTTTCGGAACAGCTTCCATAGTACAGTTACTACTGTGGACAGTGTCGTATGTAGACTCCTCAACTAAGTGGGAATCCAAAAATGGAATAATACCTTACTGGGTTCTTGGGAGCTACGCAGGTGAGAACCTAAAATGCTCAGCAACCTCCTGACACGCAGTAACTCTTGGATAAAGACAGAGTTTCTCTGTGTAGCATTAATAGCCTGTCCTGGAACTTGCTCTATAGACCAGGCTGGTCTCAACTCGCAAAGATCTGCCTGCCTCGACCTCCCAAATGCACCACCACCTCCTGCCCTGAATAAAGACGTTTTATGACTATTAAGAGACAGCTCATTCCAGCAAGGCTTCATTGGTTAAATGTAATAAATTTTAGAAGTACATATTGGAGTTGGAGTGGCCTCAGCAGCAATTAAGAGCACTTGGCTGCTTTTGAGAGGACCTAAGCTCGGTTCCCAGTACTCACATGGCAACTGTCACTCCATTTCCAGGGGATCTAACACCTTCTGGCCTCTATAGTATGTACACACACATATAAGCAAAACACGTATATACAT